CAAGCAAATCAATGCTTTTGTAGTCTAGTACCTTCCCATTAAATACCAGTGAAGTTTGTGCAGGAGAATCTCGTTCCATTGGCATCACGAGGAAATTCCATTTCTCGCTACCGACGCGCACATGAAGTGAAAACAGTACCCGTGGCCCACGAGGTATGTTAGGTCCTGCAAAAAATAGAGGGGCGCTCTCTTGCATGCGCCGCATTCCGCGTAGAGACCCGTGCTTTAGAATCCACAGCTTAGAATGTCGGGCTCGGCACCAGCCAGTTTGCGCAACATAAAGAACGAGGCTCCTAAGCGCGGTCCATCCCCGCTCACTCAACATGTCGACTCGAAGCTCGCGTGGAACACGCGATTTCCGGCGTCGTTATGAGATTGGACCAGCCACCTCTCACTTGGACGTGATAGATCAATGGAGGCAACGGGATCAGGTCCCGCAGGTCAAGTGGATCTATAAAAAGGTGAACGACAACCCACGGGATGGATACTGCGCGTTTCCGAAATGTAAGGTTTAACAGCCCTCATGTACTAATGTTATTGACAGACAGCTAAACAGTTCCTGTCTGCTATCGTGAACCATTAGAAAGGTACAACGCATGGGGGCGCACATAAGACGATGCTCTAGAATGTGCAGAGTCGTTGTTACAAAGGGCGAATATCGATCTGTCCGAAAGCCATATTCGATGGATATTCACTTTTGAAGAAGGAAGACATTGGGCACTGCCAATTAGTATGATTCAGTCCCGTAATTTATCCCGGTCACGGCTGATTGGTGCCTGTAGAACAGAGCACTGCTGTCATAGACGATCAGAGGGTTGTTGGCTATGGGCCAAATCAACAGGCAGCTAGAGAAGATTCTGCCCGGAAGCTGCTAGTGGAAGGATACTGTGTGAGTCTGTCGTAGTTACGCCATTAGGTATCGCAAGCTGACTGTTGTATTTGCAGCATATTTATTAGTGCATGCCATGTTGTCTTTGTACTATATTAATACCAAATGCTGTATTATTAGTTCGCATACCCTTAACCCCTGTATCCGCCCCACTTATATTTGTTATACACAATACATCACTAATTTACCCATATACCCCCAAGGTTGCAGCGCCTGACCAACAGAGTAGATATCGGTAGAATGTTGGATTGCGGCTCTCTGGGGCCATAGTGAGACTTTTAGAATCCAACCTCCCTCTAGGATTAGATAGCAAGGAGCTCGTGCGAGGCATCGTATTGCCAAGTGTTGATTCCTAGACACTGTCAAATGCATATGCTTCCGTCACTAGACACCAGTTGCCTATTTGGGGGATCAGCATGTGTGCAGAACACCTGCTCGGCTAAATCCCTCGGAAGTGGCAAGATCCATATGCTCAAGGACATTGGGAATATGGACACTGGTTTCGAGAAACGGGGCATGTAGGAGGTCATTTATACGGATTGTGCTGCACAGCTAAAGTAAACAAGGTCATTCCAGAGTGCAACGCGTTCCATCCCCTATTTGGCAGTAGGCGCCTGTTTAGGTGAACTTGGTCACGATCACGTGGGGCGTTCCACATGATAATGGACTTCGACGAGGCAAATCGGAAGTGTGTAGCATGCAGAGGCTTGGCACCAGTGGAGGTCGCGGTAATCGATCACAAGTGCGCAGGCTGCTTCTACGCCAACCGCCTAGAGGATCCACATGGCTATCTACGATATGGCTCTTATACAAATACTCCCGGTTTAACTCTTTTTCGAATGGGGTCTCTCACTATGCTCGCGGCACTCGCTATCGGCTCGTTTGCTCTCGCCTCACTCGCTACAGGCGCGGTTGTTCCTGCGGGTGTGCGCCCGTTGAACGCCGACTCGCGCTTGTTAAAGGCAGGTCGGGCGCCAAGTGTCTGAATTCAAACTAACGGTAGTTTCAGTTTGGTCCAGGCGATAACCAGGTCGAATGGGTTCCCACTGCAGCAATCGCACTCTTGCGCGAGTCTCACTCTGTCGACTTGTCCAAGGGCGCTGATGCATTGCGTACTATTCATCCCGAGCTTTCGGGTGTTTCCGATACGATCATTTACAGACTCGGGAACCACACTCTCCGTGGACCTGGGTTCCTCGACATTACTGGCATGGAGTTTGTCCGTCGCGAGTATCATGATCTCGAAGCTCGTGCTACGTACCCAACTCCTACTCCATCCAAGGCAAGGGAACTACGTATCTTGTTCGGCTCATGGCTCACTTTTGTCACAGTACCCAGCGCTGACGACCATGTTCAATTCTATTTCGGCTTCGGGCCTTTCGAGCACGGTGTCAACCCTGTCCAGTTATACTACTCGCTACTACAAGAGTTCAAATGCCGCTGCTGCCTCTACCTGGATCCAGACTCAATTTTCAAACGCCGCCGGTTCTGCCAACGTCAAGACTATTGCCAATTCTTTCAACCAACCAAACGTTATCGCCACCATTCCACGCAAGTCGGGCTCGACTTTGACTGATGTGATCATTCTTGGTATGTTGCCGTGTCAAGCTGGAGACGCTGTCTGAATTCGGTCAGGCGCCCACATTGATTCGACCGTTGGTGGAAGTACCACGGCGCGTGCTCCTGGTGCTGATGACGGTATGCATACCGATTTGATTGTTGGCCCGACTAACATTTGGATCCAGACGCCTCTGGCATTGCGATCCTTCTGCAGGCTCTCCAGATCCTGAAAGCCAACGGGTGGTCTGGTTCCCGCGCCGTCGAGTTTCATGCGTACGGTGGTGAGGAGGGTGGCATGCTGGGCAGTTCTACCGTTGCAAAGCAGTACAAGTCGGCCGGAAAGTGAGTCGCTCCAACGCGCATATATTCTATTTATTAAACCTTTGTAGGGCTGTTCGTGCAATGCTCCAGTTTGACATGGTCGCATACCAGCCTACATCAAAACCTGTTTTAACTGTGCTCACTGACACGGACGCCTCGCTCCAGTCGTTTAGCCAAAAGGTGATTTCGTCGTACGTGTCTGAAGCCTCGCTCTACACCAACAAGTGTGGCTATGCTTGCTCTGATCATTGTAAGTTGCCTTTGCCTCTTGGTTTCCATTGCTCAACCTTTACCAGTCTCGTGGTACAACCAAGGATACCCTTCGGTCTCGATTGACGAGTCGGGCCCATCTGACACATACCTGAACCCGTATTATCATTCATCCTCGGACACGATCGACAAGCTCAACTTTGACAAGGCGAGCAAGTTTGTCAAGGTTGGTGACTCTGTTTTGCTATACGCAAATTAACTAATTTGGCTGTATAGCTCGCGCTTGCCTGGATTGTTGAGCTTGCAGAGTAGGTTGGAGTGGTGTCTGGTTTGACTTGTCTATAAAATCATGAATATGACGAGACGTTGCTCAGTTTCGTTGGTGCTCGACTTTGGTTGGGGCGTCTAAACTGCAAAGTATTTTTGTCCGCTCGTGCTGATGCATATAGTAACCCGGTACCGGCGCGGTACCTCGAATATGCCAATACCTAGTATTTAGATTGACGCGATACTGACAAGAATCTGTAACACGTTGCGATGGGACCTCCGCACTAGCCCAAGGTGCTACGTGCACGAAGAATAGGCGCGGCGCACCTGGAGACAGACAAAGTGAAATCGCAGCAGATGAGCGGAACCGGACGCTAATAGATAGCAAAAGGAGTACAAAGCGACACATTCCCAACGAAAACGACAGTACGTTGGGAGATGGCCGTACCTGGAATGGCCAAGGAACGCGAGACAGGTCGCTTCGGGCTCTAAAACAGTCGAGTATGGTGGGAGCGCGCGGGATGAAGGCTCATCTCTTGGACATCGCCTATAAAGTAGAAGGATGGCCTTGGCAGCCGGCAATGGGAGGGGCAAGGAGCTGGTTGCACCTGTATGCGCCGCGTAACCTCGGGTTAAACGCGAAGTATGTTGGGTTCTGAATGTAAACTGTTATTATACACGTTTCTGGACCGAAGCAAGGCTGTTAGTTGTAGACCATCAAGCGGATTCGTGCGTAACCACGCTTAAGTTCGCCTCTACTGCATACAAAGCCTTGAAAAAGCTAGCTCCCCGCGGAAGTTTGTAGAAGTTCAAAAGATCAAGAAACATCGCACAGCATGGATAAAATGACTACTTTATCGGAGGGGGGGATTGCAGGAGTGCTCCGGTTGCGTCTGAGCAGTCCAAGCGGTTCCCATCTAGTTGTTGCCGTGAAAATGGACCTTTTGTTGGCACGGATACAAAAAAGCGTTGGTGAATCGTCGTTTAGGGAGCAACTGGATGCTTTATTTACGCAAGTACTACAGGCTTGAAGCATTTGGTCACCGGATGTTGATTGTATATGAGACACGCAGCTCCTAGTACACTTTGGCATGCTCATGGCAGCTGTGTATTACCATACTAGCCCTATGGTTCGCAGCGTATAGCATTGTGAAGAGCCGGTCATGTTGATTGAGTTAAGGTTTATAGGATGGACTAACTCGAGATACGCGGTCACCAGTTGAGACAAAGAGAGCTGCAAAGGGGCCTTTGCGGTGTGTGGTTGAAAGAATAGAGTAGCTCGATTACGTTGTTCAGTTCATAGTTATGCGGACTTTTGGATTTAATTCGAATGTGATTCTTGATGAACCGCAGAAAATCACCTCTCTCCCGCGCTTCTACCAGTGCGTTTTTTGGCACAACGTGTGGACATGTATCTCTAGGACCTCGCTATCGGTGTATGTAGGGCCAAGCTTGCGATTTGATCGCAGTACTCACCGATATATATTCTGTACCCTATTTGTCTGAATTATGCTTTCCAACTTGCAAATTCATTGGTTGGGTCAAGTCTGATGGGGTGGCGCAAGCCAAAGCAGGGTGGCTTAACGATCACGTGATAGTCCCGCTCACTTGTATCCCTTTAAAACCACTTTTGTATTACACAAGACTTTGGCGCAATTCGGGCCAAACTCGTCCAAAAGTGCTGAAACTCGTTTGAAACGAAAACTGAGCCATTTTCGTCGATTCTGGATGCGTTTAAAAGCTAAAAAAGCACGGCCCCAGCTGGGAATTGAACCCAGGACCTCACCCATGCAGCTGACGTAAGCATTTGTAAGCAAGTTGCTTACGGGATAACTCCCGAAGGGCGAATCATACTACTAGACCACTGAGGCTTATTTGCTTTCTTCCATCTAAAACCATAATTATATGCGCTCTTCACATATTCTACTATGAATTTGCAAGCGATTTTTCTTCTGTTTGACCATGCGCAGTGCCTAACTGACCGGACAAGGCTAAGATTCCCAGTTAAATGTTCGATCAAACTCCCTCCTTCATTCAATCGTAAACATATCGGTTCTAACGAGTCCTGCGGCCTTTCCCGAGATACCCTTGTTGAAAGCAATTTAATTATGTGGAATAATGGGTTGTAGCGAGAATAATCTACAAACACGGTACACTCCAGTCATCAAACTCGACTCGACCTTCTTGTATAGCAACGATACTCTCCATGAGCACGCTTGCAAGAGGTCCTAGTCCGCTCTTGTACGCCGGGACCTCGATATCTGAGACCGATTCTGAACCAGACCTATCTTGGTATCCAATTCGGCCTATGGGGCAAATAATCGCAGCCGTTCCCACCCCAAACGCCTCCACTAGTCTGCCCTTGTCTGCCATTTCTCTGACTTCACCCAAAGTTACTACGCGCTCTTCGGTCCGCAGAGCGTGCGCAGAAATGTAATTCATGATCGGAGACGACTTGGAATTGATCAGTCCGAGCACCGAGTTGCGAGTCACTCCGGGCAATATCGTGCCATCCAAGGCTGGCGTAATGGCATCCAAGCCTGTCAAACTCATTAGCACCGCGTTGGACGGAGCAAGGCTGATACACACCCCCATCTTCCCTTCGGAACACGACGAAAAAGTTCATCTGACCAGCCTCGGTAATCTGCCTAACCCTAGGGTAAGCTATATGCGCCAAAATATGGACATTTACGTACTGATTTTCACCCAAGATCCACAAAATCTGCTGATATCCCTTTTTCGCTGCCTCACGTTGTGGCTTGAAGCACGGAGCATAGTTGATGCCGAGCTACATCAAACAATTAGCATGTCGAACTAGCACACCCACATGCTCGCACCTTGTATGCGCCAGTTCCCCCAGGCCAAGAGCGAACAGCGTCTTGTTCGGCCCACAAACTAACGGGCTTGTATCCCGTCGGAAAGTAGGGGCCAGTTGGCGAGCAGATGACGTAGAGACACGCATGCGTTGATGCCGCGACTCCAATCGCTACAACTCGGATGAGATCTAGATCTGGTAAAAATTGCTCGAACATACCAGGGCGTGTTCCAATCATGGTAGGGCGAATGTACAAACTATACCCCTCTAGTTTGGGTATCCATCGCTTCTCTAGCTGTACCAACTTTTTTATCATTTTCAAGAGCTCGTTTGCATCAAAGTGCTACGCCAGTCAATTGCTATATGCGCACAATACATCAAATACCTACCGGCAACGCGACACGATCTGCCGACGTGGACATTCGATGCATGTTCAAATCTGGTCGGAACAACCGAGGTTGGCCGGACGGGTCAAGGAACGCCTGCAAATATTCAATACAAAATCGACGTAAAAGCTGTCAGCTTACCTTCATGCCCTCGAAAAGGGCGGGAGTATAGTGAAACACTACCCAGTGTCAGTTGACCACCACGTGAACATGTCGGAACACAGTCACCTGAGCATGCTGGGTCGAGTTCGAGTGGAGCATACGGTTTGATGACAGGAGACGTCCATCCGGTCTCGGGGCTATAGTTTACAATGAGCATATGGTCGGTCATTGTCTGTGCATTGTCAGTCCATGTCGCGAACCATATATGTCGACTCACCTGTCCAAACACTAGGTTCTCTGGAGGCGGAAGCTCCTTGAGGTTGACCGAGTGGGTTATAATCAACTTGGAAGCCTATAGAGCCTATTGAACAACGTTTATGACAAATAAAAAGAAAACAAACATCCAGTCCTGGGAGGTCATCAGGAGCACCCAGCGCTTGGGCAGTCGTCGACAGCGCAGGCTCAAGAGCTTCAAGTTTCGCAACAGTAGACGGCATTGTCGAGTCGAGATGTTTTGGAGCACCGATACCCGAAGTCTTGGAGTGGACGAGAGAAGACTTCGAGTCATAGGAGAGAAATTTAAATCAAATTCGGGTGCACGTGAGTCTGTCCAAGACTCACGTGAGGCTCTGTTTCTGAAAGTTATGCACGCCTGCAGATCAATCCGGTTTGCCAGTACAGTACGCCAGGGTAGTGTGTGTTCGGTTATGCGACTGAAACAAGTAGATAGAAAAGATGGATGTCGAGTGCTGTAGACGCTGCAAAAGCGTCTGGGTATCAACGACCTCTTGCCCCCGGAGTATTGCCTGTCTACGACCTTTCAATCGAATTTCTCCGAAAGGATAGCGCCACGAAAAAGGAGCTCGCTGCAAAAGAGTCGGACCCTAATAAAAAGGCCTTTCTAGAGCTTCAGAGTCAAATCAATCTCCCAGAAGTTCGATGGGCGTTTGCTCAGGGAAAATGTGAGTGTCAGGAATAGAAAGGCTCTCCGTGTCTAACATGTTTTAGACGATCTGTCCCAGCCAATATACCGTCACTTGCTCGAACAGTCTTGGCGAAAACAGGGCTCACTTGACCTATTGGTGAGGCTATCGCAAGTCAATCTGATAGTATTCTAACCACACCCCAGATGGAACGAGTTCACCAGATGAAGGTTTTGCCCGACCTCTTGCCCAGTTTTCATCCCACCGTAGACCTCCGAGTATCGTTTTCCGAGGGCAAAGAGGTCGAGCCGGGTGTATTTCTTCCAGTAAACGCGACCCTCCAACCACCCTCGATTGTCGCACAAGCATTTCACCCAGAGGAAAAGCTTTACACGTTGATCATGATTGATCCAGGTATGTCTTTGTCTACCTGTATTAATATATTGACTCACATGGTCTGTATATAGATGTTCCTGATACAGCTACCGAGAGCTATTCGACTTTCATACATGCACTCCAGTATGTTCATCTTATCGTCTATTCCCCTCTGGTTACCACCGATTGGCAGGACAAACATCCCGATCTCTGCGACTAAAACTCAAATAACCCTGTCAAATGGAGATGTATTCCCTTATATCCCTCCTCACCCACAGAACGGCACGCCTTACCATAGATATACGACTTTTCTCCTTCCTCAGTCCTCTAAACTCGACCTAGACGTATCCCAGCTTTCTCGGGAAAACTTCAATATGCGTGCGTTCTTTGCGGAACACGGGTTTTCAGAAGGAGGCGGAATGCACATGTTCCGTCAGGAATGGGACAAGAGCGTATCAGGGATTTACAAAACTATCCTTGGTGGGTATTCCATGAGCCTTTGTGACATGGCGCTGAATTGGGACAACCCCAGGAAAACCGGAACCCAAGTACGGTCGACCACCAAAGTTGAATACGTATATAGACGCTCAAGGACGACGACCGCCCAAGTATTCAGCTGCCTAGGTTAAAATCTAAATCATTATGATCTATTTCCAAGGCTATTCGTGAATCCGAGTGTAAATGCGCCACGATCGTGAATCGTATAAATGACATACCTTGCGCTATGGATTTGATCTTTTGGCTATTCTAATTTTGACCTCATCAATTTTGCGTTGCACCTCTTCTCGTTCGTCGAGCAAAGCCTTTAGCTCGGTTTGAATGCTATAGTCCAAGCCTTTAGAAAAAGTAGATTTATCAGAGATTACGAACCTCTTTCGCCTATCTGCTGATATTCGATCGACAGGTTTGTCTTCGACGGCTGCGAGTTTTGCACTATGATACGTCGGAGAGCCATACTTTTCACGAAGAACCACCCCACCGTAGACCGCGGCTACAATAATCATGCATAAGCCAGGATATCAGAGATAGAGATGGATCAAGTACATGGTACCACTACAAGCGCAGCCACAGTCAATATGACTTTGTTATACCGTTGAAGCAAGGACATGGTTCTGGTGCAAAGTCTCCTAACCCAAAGTCATGTGACGTACTGTCAAGACACCACCAGCCACAACACCTCTGAATTATCAGAAAATGGTATATCTCTTTTTACATATGCCTCGCTATACCAGTCTAAGTCCTGATTCGAGCCGTCGATAGGAACGTCAATGGAAACTCCTACCTCTCCTAGCCAGGTAAACGGGGTCACTCCAAGCGTGAATGGTGCGCCAGCGCCCGCATCTGCACCTGTCAACGTACCTCCCGAGGTTGAACATACGATATCAAGGTTAAGCACACACAGGAACGTGAGGGGTGTACTTATTCTTGCCAGACAAGGTTCGTGCTTCTGGCCGGTTTTTTGGTTGGACACTAAGGGGTTGTGGGCAGGATCGATAATTCGGTATACGGGCAGCGCGTTCGAAGGCGAGCAAGGAAGAAAGTACGCTGGGGTTGTAAAGAAAATCGTGGATTGTTGTCACGCCGGGCTGGAGGAGGTTGGGGAAGAGGGAGTGAGTATATCTTTGGCTTATTCTGCTGGAAATGCCTGATCATGTAGGACGAGCTCAAATTTATGAGAATGCGAACCAAAAAGCACGAATTAATGATCTCCCCTGGCAAGTACAACATAGCGTACGACCTCTGAAATCTGACTAATTCACTGTAGACGAGCGGTATATTCTGGTTGTGCTGCAGGACCCCTCGCAGTGAATGGAGATTATTGTATACTCGTACATACGTATCCGAGTGAGTACGGTCAAAACTAGCTAGGTGACGCCTCCTAATGCACCCGGTTCGATAGGCCGCTGGATGAGCCTGTACTCTATCGTCGTTGCTTTTCATAATCCAGTTTCATTCTGTTTAAACAAGACTCCAAATAATCGTTCGCCGATTAAGAGTTCAATCGCCACCATCGTCCCAGCCGCCTCGATCCCTAGTCTCAGCGCCGAACTTGTTCTTCGTCTTGGCCTTTCGGCCCCCCAGTTCCTTGTATATCGACCGGGCCTCGACCTTGCCCAGCTTGGGGTTGGCCGCGGCCGCTGCCTCACTGGCCCATTGGGCCTCCCGCATCTCGCGTGGAGTAACATAACCCGAACTGAGTGCATCTGCATCTGCAGCCATACGCGGGCCGTCGTAATCCGATCGTCTTTGGATCTTGAGGTAGGTTACAC